GGAGGGAGGAGGGGGCAGGACGGAACCAGAAGGCGGAGAAGGCGGACGCGTGGCGGGGATGTGTGAACCCCAGACCCCCCCTTAGGCGCTCGCGCGCCCGCCAGAGGCAATGAGCGGGGGAGAAGAGGGGAAGGGGGAGGGGGGGACACAAAAAGGCGCGGTGGCACTGCAGTCAAGCGGGGCCCTGGCGAAGAGGGAGCGGAGAGGAGGGAGGATGACGAGCGGGCCCAGGAGCTAGGGGATCAGAGGCGCCGCAAACGCCAACAGTTCGACGCTGGCGCGCTGCAGCGTTGCCGCCAAGCGCTGGTAGCAGGCGTCGATGGCAATCGACCTGTGGTGCTCATCGAGACCATAGGAGAAGCCCTTGACGATGCTCTGAGCGCCTCCGCCTCCTCAGCTCCATGAGCACCTCTCCTCCTCCCCATCGTCGTCCCCCTCCCTTCCTCCGCGCATCCCCTCCCCCTTCCCCCCCCTCTGAGCGCCAGCTCGGCCCCGTCCCTGGACCTCCGAGCCCGCGTCAGGGCGCTCCCGCGCCGCCCGCCGCTCTCTTCTCCCCCTCGCCCTCGGGCGCCCCCTCTGCGAACCATGGACCCGAGCGCGGCTCGGCGTCCCCAGCGCCCCAATCGCTCTGCGGCGGAGCGCCGCGCGCGGCACGCGCGGGCGCAGGGTCGGGCCGCCCTCTCCTCCTGCTGTCCGCGCTCGGCGAGGTCAAGTGCCACTGTGGGCAAGAGCCCTCACCGCGCTCGGCGCCGCGCGGAGCGAGGCACCGCCTGCCCGCGGTCCTCGCGGAGCTCCTGCTGGTGGGGCCGGTGGAGGGGCCGGCAGCCCCTCGCGGCGCGCAGACGGAACCGCGGGAGCTGCTGGCCCGCTTCGCGGCGGCGGCGATGCCGACGCGGGTGCTGATGACAGCAGCTGGTGAGGCGCAGGTCCCTTCGGATGACAGCTCCAGCCGCCCCGACATGCCAAAGACGGCCGTGGAGACTGCCAGGGAAGCCGTGGAGCCGTGCGCGCAGGAGGCCGAGGCGGCCCCCGCCGCTGCCGCCGCAGCGTCGAGGTCAGGTTTCGCCTTCTGCGCCAGCGTCGTGGGGGCCCCGAGGAAGGTTTTGGTTCAGGAGGGGAAAAACACACATAGACAATGAATCGTCGATTCCCTTGAAAATATAAGAAAATATGGGAAGTGGGGGGGAGACAAACACCCAGAAAATATTGGAAAATGTGGGGAATCCTGTTATTTGTGTGTATTTATTTGTGTGCCCCAGGGCCCCTTCAAAGATTTTGGTGGAGAGGAGCGGCGGAGGCACCGCTGCCGAGCCGCTGGGCGAGCATGCTGCTGGCGGCGCGCCTGGGTGGGCCTCGAGGCCGACGGGCCTCTGCGGGGGATTGGGGGCCCTGCCGCCTGCTGCCGAGGCGGGTTTGGTAGCCAGCGCGGAGCAGGAGAGGCCCCGCAGAGGCGCGCCGCGCGCTGCGGTCGCGACGGGGCTGCGGATCGCACATAGAGAAGCGGCAGGAGGATGTGGAGGGGGGCAGGGGTAGAAGGAGGGCGATGAGGAGGAGGTGGGGAAGGAGGAGGAGGGGGAGGAGGAGGAGGAGGAGGAGGAGGAGGAGGAGGAGGAGGAGGAGGGTGGGGAGGAGGAGTTTTTTCCATCCATCGACACGGGGAAAACAAGACTTAGCTGTCCCTCAACACTTGGTGAGTGAAGCTATGGTGGGATACATAAAAAAAATCCAGTCGCAGGGCATTATATCCCTTCCTCGCCTGGCTGGGGCGCACCATGCAGGGGGCTCAAGAGCGGCTGACCTGCTGCGGCATGCGGGATTCGCATCACCTGAAGCCCAGGGCCTGGGCTGCCTCTTCATCTGCTTCCAAGTCCATGGGTTGCTGTCTGCCGTGGAAGACGGGCGATTGCTGGCAAAGAATCGAGGTCGAACACTGGCTGGCGCACTGCAGGCACGGCTATCTGGCCTAAGAGCAAAACTAAACTTTCGAGTGCGGAGTGCGTTCGTGCCGTCTAAAATTGACGGCTCTAAAGAGGAGGCGTGCAGCTGCTCGCCTGCCGTGAAAAGTACAGGAGCGTGGACCGTGCGTTTCTCACCGCCGGTTCTCAACGGTGGCACTTGCGGCGCCTCGATCATGCCGTCTGCAGCATGTCGGTCCACGTCCCCAGCTCCTCCTCGAGCCATCCTGGCGGGGCTACCCCCGTGAGCACCTTGCCGACGCCTTCCGCTCGGAATGCTCCGAGCACGGCTGTGCGCTGGTCCCATCTGTTCATCGCGATCTGGAGCTTGACGAACTCCTTGTCGTGGCAGGGCTCGACTCTGAGGAATGACACGCTGGTCTCGATGTCCGCTTTCGTGAGCTGGGGCTCGGATGCCATCTCCTCGCTGTCTGGAGGCTGGACGAGGGCGAGCCAGGCCTTGATCTTCTCCTTCATAGCTCCGCCGATGTCGCAGGTCACGAGGCTCTCCCTAATGGCGACTGTGAGCCCTGCCGTCGGCGGTCCTAGCTCGGCCAGGCTGTCCTTGGCTTTGTCCTTGCGGAACTGCTCGATCTTGTTCTTGTAGAGCTCGAGCTCGTCGCCCAGCGCCTGGACGACGATGTGCTTGATCGGCAGGGTGATCGTGTCCATGGCGTTGGCCGCCAAGCAACGTATCTTCTGGGTGTTCTGGAGGAGGAGCTTCGCCATCGTGAGGATGAGAGCGTGGAGGTTCCGATCTTTGCTGCTCCATGTCTCGTCCGTGTGCGTGCCTCTGCGGCGACGTCCTCCTCTGCGCCTGCGAGCGGGTCCGCCCTCGCCCGCCTCGTCCCCGTCCGCCGACTCCTTCGGGCGCGCTCGAGCCTCGCCTCCGAGAGCCTTCTGCTTCGCTAGCGGGCGCTGGTCCTCGGAGCCCCTGCTTCCGCTGCCACCATTCCCAGACGCTGCCAAGGAACGCGGCAGGCGCCACCCTGCTCGGGGTAGCGTGCTCGCCATCTTCTCAGGCGTCACCAGCTGCGGTCCATGTCGTACGCGACGAGCGTGGGATCGGTGCCGAGGTGGTAGGCGTAGCAGTACTCGGGCGTGTAGCCGAGGAAGCTCCTGTGGATGCCAATCGTGAAGTTGGCGCTGTGGTAGGGCGAGGTCTCGGTGTCGGGTGCGGCCGAGGAGGTGGCGGCACTCTGGTGGTGATCAGCTTCAGCGAAGCCGCCTGGAGCTTCCTGCGCGCCTCGGCGCTGTCCTCGAGCTGTCGAGGAGGGCGCGGCGGCGCGGCGCCACTGCCGAGTGCCTCGGCGGCGCTCGGGGGGCCGCGCGCGCGCGGGGCCGCAGGAGCAGCCCTCGTCCAAAGCCCAGATGGCGACGGCGGAATGTGCGTGATCAAATGGTCTCGCATCTCCAGTGGGTCGTGGAACTCCTGAGCACAACATTCGGACGCCGATTGCTCGAACAACGGGCACAATCGTACTTCCGATGCTTGACATTTATATTCGTGCCGTGCCGGCTCAGGAAGGCATCGTCCTTGTAGCCATGAACGTTTATGATGTCTGTTGGTATGGTCAATGCTGCTAAACACGGTGTCGCATACCAGGCACCTAGTATCTATGGTAATGGTAGATAATACTGTAGGACATCCATGGCCAGGCGCTCGTGTATGTACTTGGTGCGCAATGGCAATAAGACTAGGTAGGGTAGCGAACTTCTTTGGGCACCCCTCCAGGCCACAAACAAACAACCGCTCCTCCTCATCCGAGTCGTCGCTGAGAATGGACGTGTGTCTAGGGGGGGCCCACTCCTGTGATAAATATGACGCTCTAAACACGGTCATGTCGCACTTGCGGAAGCTTCCGTTGGCCTCCGAGTCTTCAAACAACACTTTGATCACGGGGGGGGACCAGATCTCCTTCAACTCCTCACCCTCGGGGTGCGAGAGCAAGCACGCGAGATCGTCGGCGAGTTGCCGTACCCATGGGTGCACTCCTTTGTCACTGCTGATGGTGCCCTGCGGTGTGAGGGGGGAGGAGGAGGAGGAGGAGGACGAAGAGGAGGAGGAGGATAGATAAAAAGGAGGAGGAGGAAGAGGAGAGAGCAGAGCTCAGCGCGAGAGGAGGATGTCTGCCAGGGCGACGGGGGAAGGGCTAAGGGTAAGCTAAACATATTCTCATGTGGGCGTCTGGAGCGCGGCGCAGGCGGCTTCAGCGACGGTCTCATGTACGAACCAGCAGACTGTAAGTAGAGCTGACCGTATCGATGGCTCGGAGTGGCGGTGTTCTATATGGAGGAGTTTTCGCCATACACGCTGTCCTGGCCTGCAGTGTTTCATTCAGTCTTGGGTTGTTGTATTGTGGTGTTCAGTGCACGGTCTTGTGGCTGGTGGGGAGAAGGGGTAAGCCCATTTGTTGTTGCCAAAACGGCGTGAGTTAACTTTCTGCGTGGTCGGCTGTTTTCAAGTGGGGATGCATTCCTACGAGGTATCATTCAGTTGTTCCTTGGGCGTCCTTATCCTGCCGTTCGTGTACTTGATCGCGGGCTCCATTCCCGCGTTCATTGCAGTTCCTCTTCTTCGGCCTCGCCGTCTGATTCGAGGGCTGAGGCGGCAGGGGATGGCGTTCGTTTCTGATGACGCTCCGCGTCTGTTCCGGTTTCGACTCCGAGTCCTTTCTCCCTCCTCGTTCCCCCAGTTCGGAGAATGGGGTGAGTTTTGAGTGTTTCCCGCGGGTCTGGATTCGGGTAGCTCGTACCCGCGTTCAGTGCCTCGGGCAGTGGACCAGTTCACGGTCTAGCCTTGGGGCCAGCGTCCCAGGCGTTTTGGATCCTCTCTTAAGGATAGTCTCTGGGCCTTTTTTCGAGTTGCAGTAGCTGCACGAACCAGGCCCCAACGGAGTGTTTCTTCTGCTTCTTCTTCTTATTCTTCTTCCTCGTTCCCCCTCCTCCCTCCGCCCCTCTCCTCCCCCCTTGCCCGCCCCGTGGTCCCCCGCCTCCGTGGCGCGCGGGCGGCACCTCCGCGCCGCCCCGCCGTTCGGCCGCGAGGTGCCCCAGCTGTGGAACGAGCGCTACCGCCAGCAGATCGAGGTGCACGACGGCGCCGTGGTGGACGAGAAGAGCGGGACGCACATGCGCGCGATGTACGGAGGCGTTCGGTGGCTAAGCGCTTGTGGAAGGACGCGCGAGAGAGAGAGAGAGAAAGAGACAGAGTAAGACGTAACAAGAGAGAGAGAGAGGGATAACAAACAAACAAGAAGAGAGAGAGAGAGAGAGTGACAGGGATATAAGTAGGGTGGGTGCGACAGGAGGAGGGAGGGAATGCGGGCTGCATTTCAAAATGGGCAAAGCAAGACAGACAGAGAAACCAGTGCGAGAGAGAGGTTGAAGTGGAGGGGGGAGGATGGGAGGAGAGGGGAGGATCTTTGTCAGGCGCGCGTTTGCTGTGCTCGCACGGCCGCGCTTTCCAGTGCTACCAGTGCTACCGAGGTGGGAGGGGAGGCGGTGAGGAGTTGGAGGGTGGAGAAGAAGGGAGAAGGCCAGGAGGCAGGAGGCTGGGAGAGAAGCGGGATCATCGCAGGAAGGGGAGGAGCACAGGAACGGAGGAGTGGAGGTTGGTAGGATCATGCAGGAGCACTCGATGTGATAAGGTATCTTCTCGTGTTTGCCTCCTCCTCCCTCCTTCCGATCTAGCGGGACTCGTCCGTGTGGCTGACCATTCCCGCTGCCACGTCTTTTTCCCACAGCCAGGGGGGGGGGCAACCCGCTCGCCGGGACCCAGACCCGAGGCGTCCAGTTTGGCCTGGAGAAGTTCACAGTCGGCGCGCGTGCGGCGTCCGCTTCGGTCCCCCCTCACGCCGCGGGGCTGTGCCGGGGAGCACTTGGGCGGGCGAGTTATAGGGTGGACGAGACTGGGGGCATGAAGATGGCGACATGCAGCTTGTTTGGACCTTGATTCTGGGCACATCCCTCAGCCCAATTGATGGAGGCAGCACCGTAGGTATGGACCCTGTTGATTCTGGTACTCCGTAAGTTCTGATGCATACTTGTCCAACATTATACGTTCGTTCTCTGAGGTAGACGTGCTTACCACGGCGCACAGCAACCGTTGGCATTGTGCGCGTTGTAGACCAGTGGCGGATGCAGTGCGCATCGAAGCACAGGCGCGGCGGTGCGGCGGCGCGGGAGGTCTAATTTGCCCGCGTCGGCGCCCGTGGACCGACGGCGTGTGTTCGTAGACCCGGCCGGATGACGCGCGCACCGAAGCAGTCGGGCGTTGCGTCATGGGGGGGCGATAATTCAGATGTGGGAGCGAAGAGAGGGGCACCTGTCGTGCCCTAGCGGAGCCCTGAAGAGGGCCCCTGTCGGGCGGGGCTAGGACAAGTATACATCCCCTCCTGAGCAATCTGGAACGATCTCTCTCAGAGCGATCCCGAACGCTCTGAGGAGGCCGTGGCGCCCGAGACGTCTTCGGTGCCGCTGGATCTCAGAGATTCCCGATTTATCCTCATCCCGTTGTACCCCCGTGCTGGCTTCGTCCTACCCTGGGGCCCAAAAGAGGCGAAAGGTGCACGTGTCCCCCCCCCCCCCCATTCCTCGCCCCCCCATGACCGAGCAACGCCCGAGGCAGATGCGCTGCGGTGCGGCGGCGCGCGAGAGGTCCAGTTCGCCCGCATCGGCGCCCGTGGCCCGATGCCGCGGGTCTCCGCGGCGCTGTCCATGGCGACCAGCGTCACCGGTGGCCCTGGCCTTGGAGCGCATAGACCTCTGCGGGCGATCGAGGGCCCCGGCCGTTACAGTCGAGAACTTGCTGTTGGCGTGTCTTGCTGCCGGTCCCGGCCCATCACGCTTCGGCGCGACACGCTATCCACGTTTCCATTTGCCATGCGTCAACGTCCCGAGCTCTTGCGGGGCATAGCGTGCCGCCAGGGCCCCGCCGCGACACGCTGAGCAAATGTTCCCGACCGTATCACTATGTCGATCAGCGGGGGTGAGGCGGGGATGAGGGGAGGGGGGGGCGGCCTCCTTAGAAGGCGGGGGGGGCTTCTTAGAAGGCAGGGACCTTCCTATGAAGGACTGGACGCTTCTCCTCAGATCCCAGCGTCGCGTTTGCTCCACACTGGGCGTGTTCTCGGTATCCCAGTATCCAGCGCCAGAGGAACATGAGGCCTAGGGCTCTGGTCGTGACTTCAAGCGATGCCCCATTTACTTTGACGTCGGATCTCGGGATCTGCGAATGCGTCTGGAAGGACGCCTCCCTCGCGCGGCCACGAGTCGTCTTCGCCTGCGGCCGGCTTCGCTGGCGGCCGCCTTCGCGGGCGGGCCGGCGGGTGGTCTGCGCCGGCGGGCGGGCGGGTCAGCAGGCGAGCGGGCGGACGACGACGTGCGGGTCCGGCGGGCCGGACGGGCGGGCGGGCCCTGACCGGCGGAGGCGGCTGGATTCAGGAGGAGAAGAAGCACACAGACAGAAACACAGAAAATGTGGGAAAATGTGGGAAGGGGTGGGGAAGACAAAAACCCAGAAAGTATGGGAAAGTATGGGGAATCTGTTTATTTGTGTATTTAGTTGTGTGTCCCAGGGCCCCATCATGGATGTCCCAGCGGGCGAGGGCGGGCGAGTCGGGCCCGAGGTGCAGACGGCCGTGCGCAGACTGCAGGGAGGAGACGACCGGGCAGAGGCGAGTGCGGGCGACGGCGGCGGCTGCGAGGCGGCGACGGCAGAGGATCACCACCAACCAAACCACGCCAACCCAACCCGAAGGTTTCAAATAGACCTCCATTTCCAGTGGGGGGGGGGTCGGGGAGCCCATACCCCATACCCCCCCCCAACCCGAAATTCGAGTCTTCGGGTTGGATTGGGGTGGTCTGGTAGGTAGTCAGAGGAGAGGACGGCCACTGGCGAAGACGAGGGTCTGTCCCCCGCTCGCCTCTCTCCGCGTGCGCGCCGTCCAAGGAAGGCAAGGGGCATCCTGAAGTTTCCGCCGTTTTGGCCGCTCCTCCCCAAGGGCTCTCGGGGCAAAGGGATTGCTTCGAGGGGGGGAACAAAAACACCCTGACCCCGTCAATAAGTTTACCAAACGACCCTGGGCTTGTCGGGATGCCCGCTGCTCGGCGACGAACGCTGGATCTCCGAGATACCCAGCCTGTTCCAGTCCGGAGGACGAGGTTGAGGAGGAGGAGGAGGAGGAGGAGGAGGAGGAGGAGGAGGAGGAGGAGGAGGAGGAGGAGGAGGGGAAGGTGGAGGAGGAGGAGGAAGAGGGGGGAGGGAGGGGGAGGGGGAGGAGGGGGGAGGAGGGGGAGGAGGAAGGAGGAGGAGGAGGAGGAGGAGGAGGAGGAGGAGGAGGAGGAGGAGGAGAGTGTGCCCCTGCCCTGGCTTCGTCTCGGCGCCTGGGGGGCGCGGGGGGGCGGCGCGCGCGAGCGGCCGAGGCCTCCGGACCCCGGCCATGCGCGGGGCCGTGTCCATGCGCGCCGGCGGCGTGCCCCGGGCCGCGATCTCCATGCGCGCAGGCGGAGGGGCTCGGGGGGCGGCCAAGAGGGGGGCGGTGACCAGGGGGGGGGGGATCTTGGCGGGGGCCATGGCATCTCCCCAAATGCTCGTGGCGCCTCTTCTTATTTCGATGCGTTCCCTGCCCCCCCCCCCCCCCCCCTGGGCCGCGCACAGGCCTCCGGCCATGATTTGCGCCCTCTTCTCTTGGCCGCCCCCCTCTTGACCGCCCCCGAGGGGCGGGGGCGGGCTTCCTATTGGTACGATCGACATAGGTACGGCAGGTTTGCGTCGTGTCGACCTGCGGCAGCCCCGCCGCCGGCGTTCAACGCGGAACGCCGCTGGCGGCCCTGAGCTTGTCGATGTTGGACTGATCTGACGTGTCGGAAACGGCGGATCGTTCAAGGTTCGATCGGTACGATCGACATCGAGCGAAGATGGCTATGGACATACACCGAGCCAGCACAGGCCCATCCTGGGCCCAGGATCGGTGTGTGCGCGTGTGTGTGTGTGTGTGTGTGTGAGTGTGTGTGTGTGTGTGTGAGTGTGTGTGTGTGCGTGTGTGTGTGCGTGTGTGTGTGTGTGCCTCCCTGGTCAAGCCAGGAGGGCGGTGCACCGATCCTGCGCCCCGGGAAGGCCTTGGCTGGGATCGGTGTGTGTGTGTGTGTGTGCATACAGTCAGCTGCATAGTTCGGATTGGCAACCTTCCCAAGGGTACCCCTAGCATCCTGGCCCCTTCGGCCCATCCTTAGCGACTTTCGCTGGCCAACCTCGTTAAAACAACGTGAACTGACCTCTGAGTCCCTTGCATCCTTACCGCGCATCCTACTGATACGGGTTGACTGTAGTTTTGCTCCTTCTACGAAGTGGGTACGATTGGTACGTCGGCCACGCGCAGAGGGGGGTAATGGGAGGGGGGAAGGCTTCTTAGAAGCACCCCTGCTTCTTAGAAGGCGCGGACCTTGTCTATAGATGTAGGGACGGCGGCGCCTTCTAAACAGCAGCCTCCTGCTAAGAAGACTTCCCCCCTCCCCCTACACCCTTGTGCACGCCACCAGGCACGGAAAGAACGGGTACGAAGGCCCCATCTTGAGTCAGATTCGTGGTCGGTGCCGCCGCGGGCCTGGTGCATTTGAGACAGCAGGTCGCCTGCCCCACAGCGGTCGCTGTGGTCGGTTTTGGACCACATCTGCTGTTGGGCATCGTGCCCAGCTTTCCCCGTACCCATTTTGGGCGATGCGCCGTTGCGTGGCGTTTGTCGGCACATTGTGGGCGTCCAAGGGGAGGGGGGGCGGGCTTCCGAGGAGCGGAGGACGAGAGATTCGGTTACACCTGAGCTTGGCCCCTTTGGCGGGAGGGACCTTTGTTGCGGCCCCACTGGCTGGCGCGCTCGGATTTGCCCCCCCCTCCCCCCCCTCGGCGACCCCAAAAGTTGCGCACCAAAGATCAGTCTTAAGCCTAGGGGTCCCTCTCGGATTTGCCCCCCCCCCCCCCCCCTCCCCACTCGGCGACCCCGAAAGTTGCGCACCAAAGATCAGTCTTAAGCCCAATGAGGGGTCCCTCCACCCGCCAAGGAAGCGGGTACGTCCGGGCCTCCTAGTTTGGGGTCCGAGTGGAGTTGGGAACCCCCAGACCAGGTGGTGAGATACCAGGTGGCGACCTGGAATCCCCAAAAAGGTCACCGCTGGGTTTGGGGACGCGGGGTCACCGCCGGGTTTTGTGACTCCTGGACCCACCAACGTTCGGGACATCCTCGGAAAACCGCACGAGTCCCCAAACCGGGTGGTGACACCAAATCGCCCGAGACTCATCGCCAGGTGTTGTCACCACCACGTTTGGGTACTACCAATAGAGAGGGGGCCAGAGGATCGCGCTGCATCGCTGATGTATCGGCCATGCGGCTCGACGCGGAACCCGATTTTCTCAACGCCGACGGCGCCGATGCATCGCCGATGCATCGGTGATGCAGCGCGACCCTCCGATCCCATCTGCTCTCGGGGGCCTCTAGGAGCGGAGGGCGGACGATGGCCGGGAAGCGTGCGGGCCCTGAGGGAGACGGGTGCCGAGATGTTTTAGCAGTGGTTGGCCTCCTTGTGGCCCTCGAAGGGCCCCAGGATGTTTTGAAGATGGTTCAGGGCGAAGAGCTGGTCCTGGAAGAAGGCCTTGGAATCCAGGAGCCGTTTCATTCGGGACCTGTTTGCATGCCAAGAGAATTTGTTTTGGGGCCATGTGACATATGCATGCAGCTGGCTTCGACCCCGCCGCGGGCGCCTCACGCATGGTCCCCTTCTGGCGCGGGGGGGATCCGGCTCCATGCAGCCGACTCGCTACCCCCCCCTGATTTGCTGAGGGGGATTGAGGAGCCCGAGGAGGAGGGTCGGGGTCGAGGGTCGAGGAGGGGGAGATGGAGACGACTCCAACAGCACGCTCGAAAGTGTGGCACGGCCTCCCAAAGAGAGTGGAGTGGAAGGAGGAGGAGGAGGATGAGGAGAAGGACGAGACGGAGGAGACTGAGGAGGAGGAGGAGGAGGCCGGGGAAGAAGAGGAGGAGGCCGAGGAGGAGGAGGAGAAGGAGGTGGACGAAGACGATGAGGAGGAGGAGGAGGTCCAGGAAAGGGAGGGTGAGGAGGAGGACTGAGGAGAAGGAGGTGGTGGAGGAGGAGGAGGAGGAGGACGAGGAGGATGAAGGAGGAGGAGGAGGAGGAGACGCAGGAGGAGGAGGAGGAGGACCAGGAGGAGACGACCCCAGCAGCACACTCCAAAGGGTGCCGAGAGGAGGAGGAGGAGGAGGAGGAGGAGGAGGAGGAGGAGATGCAGGAGGAGGAGGAGGAGATGCAGGAGGAGGAGGAGGAGGAGGAGGAGGAGGAGGAGGAGGAGGAGGAGGATCTCCCAGCTGCTGGACGGCGCTCAGACAAGCTTGCCCCTGGTGCCCCCACGGGCTATAGGGCAGGGGGCGGGAGCGCATGGGGCACGCGGGGGACCTGTACCGCAGAACGTAGGATACGAGAGGGGAGGGCACGAAGGTCGGGGTGGTGGCGCGGGAGGGAGAGGAAGGGAGGGAGGCGAAGGACGATCATGCAATCACTTTCTCAGGCCAGGGCCAGTGCTGCGAGGCTGGGAGGGGTGCAGGGCGGCCCAGAGGGTTCCAAACGAAGCTGCGCCATACCAGGTTTCGGGGGCGCACAAGAGGGGGGTGATGACTAGGGGGGGGGGAAATCATGGCGTGGGCCGCGCACATGCCGCCAGCCATGATTTGCTCCCCCTCCCTCTTGGGGAGGGGGCGCCATGATTTGCGCCCCCTCCCGAAGTTGGGCCGACTCCAAACCTTGAACCCTTTTTCCTGGAGGCTGACGCATGTGGCCAATGAGAGGCGCTTGGCCCAACATCCGCTGGCTTAAACCTCTTTGGGAACCCCTATGGAGGCGAGGGGATGGGGACCCGCGGAAGGCACCTGTACATGGTCACCGTGCCGGGCCAGGGCCGTGCAGGGTCCCAGGATGGATAGACGTAGATTGTATGCAGACCCTCCTTTGCCCTGGCAAGTACGGCGTATGCATCACGCCAGCGCCCAAGATGGTCCTGGTCAGGCATGATGGTGGTGGTTTGATGCCCTCTGCGCAGGGAAGGTTTGCGTCGTGTCGACGCCAATCTGGCGTCGACAATGTGGTCGAACGCCAATATGGCACGATTTGGCGATCGTGAAACAGTGATCGTCACGACACTTGCAGCTGGGGCGGGCCATCATGCTTTGGACTGCCCCTCCTTGGGTCGCCTCTCGTTCCTTCGGGGCGGGGAGGAGGGGGGGGGCACCGCGTATCGGGGGAGGGGCCAAATAAGCACTCAGGGTGTGCCCCTTCCGCTTTGAATCCTCCCCCCCCAACGCGTCACGACAGAGAGCCCGCCGCAGGGTAGGCAAGGACGTGCCGAGACGGGGGCCTCCCTCGGCCCGCAGCAGGCGGCGTGCCGCGCGGAGTGGACCTCAGCCTGGACAGCTTCAGCCTGGGGAGCGCCCGGGCCGTCCACGGCGCGTGCGTGGCCGCCCCGGGCTCCGCCGAGGCGCGGCCTCTCGGCGCTCTCGGTGCCTGATCGTAGGTCGGGCCTGTCCCTCTACAGGGGGAACATCTTCAATTACTCCGACGGAAGAACCCCACATAATAATCCTCTGGGCGAATCTGGAAAAAGCCATCACCGTCGTCCTCGTGGTTGGTGAGGCGTCCTGGCTGTCTCTTCTGCGTATATTTCCTCTCGCCTTGGCGCGGGCCCCCCTTCCACTCCTTACGTTGTCCCCATCCTCGCCCCCCTGTTTGTTCCGCGCCCCGCCACCTCCTCCCCTTCCTGTTGCATGAGCGCGCATGTCGATGTTCCTCGGCGCCGTCGCCGCCACGGCCAGCACAGGCGCGTTCTCTACTGGTCACGTCGCGCAGCCGTTGGGACAACCCCGCGGGCCAGGCTGTCGGGACAACCCCGCGAGCCGTTGGCGCGCAAGACCAAGCCGTTGGGACAACCCCGCGGGCTTCGAGCGAGGCGCAGCCGCGCTCAGGCGGAAGGCAGCACGAAGCCCAGCTCTGCCGCGAGCTGCTTCGCCTCCGCCCTGGACAAAACCGCTCTCTTGTCGAACTCCAGGAGCGCCTTCCGCAGGGACGCCGGCGGCCCGCACTCCAGGAACTCTCGCGGCGGCGGCCGCAGGATCAGCATGTTCCGCATGCACGTGGCGCGGGAGAACATGACGTAGAGGTGCAGCCATCACTGCTCGTCCGACATGCCCGTGCGGCCAGCGTCCTCGTCTCTCGCGCAGTCGATGGTGACGCCCTTGCGCAGCGTCTGGCCCTGCGACAGCGTGGAGGTCAGGTAGGCGCGTGCGTCAGGGTGAACCCCGAGCGGCGCACGCTGTGCGCCCCCGAGCTCTGCCATGTGAACTCCCTTTCGCTGGGCCTGAACATCAGCAAGCTCCGCGCCCGCGCCTCGGCCTGGCCGTCGTCGTCGGCGCCTTCGGCGCCCTGTCGCAGCACCTCGGCGACCTCCTGGTAGATCGGAGACTCCTTGAAGCCGTGCACCTGCAGCCAGATTCCCTGCGGTAGGAAGCGGGGGCGAAAGAGCTGGCCTGCCGAGCACTCCTCGTGGCGCTGCTCGTCCTCGTGGTGGAACTCGAAGGACACGATGGTGGCCCGCTGCTCCTGCACGAGCCCCAACTTCTTCTTCAGCTCCTCCTGCGCTGCCGTGAACCGCACCTCCATGCCGACGTGGGCCGGCAAAGCGCCGTGGATGTCCCCCGTCTTGTGCATGTTCGGGACGTTCAGGAGGCGCCGACCCGCGTCGGGCTCGCCCTGAATCGTGCCGCACTCGTCAACGGCCTGCAGGAAAACAAGGGGCACGCCCAGACGCCGAGCGTCGCGACGAGCGCGCGTGTTGATCCACCTCGCCAGCGTCTCCCAGTATATGCCCATGCCGTAGCCGAGCCGAAAGTTCTCGTGCTGGTGCCGAGGGTCCAGGACGCCCTGGTTGTCCGTGGCCAACGTCTTCTCCCAGGCGGACCAGACCTCAGGTGGGAAGGGCTTGCCCTCGCGCATGCAGCCCAGGAGCGTGATCAGAGGGTCCCCGGGCTCGAAGCGCTTCGTGCCCTTCAGCTCGAAGACGCAGGGGATCTGAGAGAAGACCTTGATGGCGTGCTGGATCTCCACCGTCGGCGGGTCCGCGTACCTGTACGACTCGTCGTCGTCCAGGCGCTCGTTCACGCCCGTCAGGAGGCCAATGCTGCCGGTGGGCTTCAGCTGCAGGAAATCGCCGAGGTGCAACACGATGGGCACGCGCCCGAAGTGGTGGTGTGGCCGCTGGTAGTTCGACTCCTGCACGTCGTGCGTGTCACTGCGTCCGTGGCAGGCGCGAATGTCCAGCGCGTTGTACAGCGCGGCTGCCACCATGCTTATATCCTCCTTGTTGCGTCCAAAATGTGGCCTGGGAGCTGCGTTCTGGCAGCGCGAGACCCAAAATTGACGACAGGTACAGGTTTTGGATGACCCGCTCGGATTACCAACATGATCTGCGGGCCCCATAGGGAGGGAGCTCCCGCCTGAGACTTCCTCGCAGTTCACTCACAGACGAGGTTCCCGCCTGAGACTTCCTCCATATTCAGGCTTGAGGAGCCCAAAAGTGACGACAGTTACAGGGTTCCGATGACCCGCTCGGATTACCAACATGATCTGCGGGCCCCATAGGGAGGGGGCTCCCGCCTGAGACTTCCTCACAATTCACTCACAGACGAGGCTCCCGCCTGAGACTTCCTCCAAATTCAGGCTTGACGAGCCCAAAAGTGACGACAGTTACAGGTTCCGATGACCCGCTCGGATTACCAACATGATCTGCGGGCCCCATAGGGAGGGGGCTCCCGCCTGAGACTTCCTCGCAGTTCACTCACAGACGAGGCTCCCGCCTGAGACTTCCTCCAATTCAGGCTTGACGAGCCCAAAAGTGACGACAGTTACAGGGTTCCGATGACCCGCTCGGATTACCAACATGATCTGCGGGCCCCATAGGGAGGGAGCTCCCGCCTGAGACTTCCTCCCAATTCACTCACAGACGAGGCTCCCGCCTGAGACTTCCTCCATTTTCAGGCCTGGGGAGCCCAAAAGTGACGACAGTTACAGGGTTCCGATGACCCGCTCGGATTACCAACATGATCTGCGGGCCCCATAGGGAGGGGGCTCCCGCCTGAGACTTCCTCACAATTTACTCAACGATGATGAGGATAAGGATGATGAGTGGTGGTGAAGATGAGTGGTGAAGAGGATGATGATTGATTGTGACTGGTGGTGGCGATGATGATGTTTGAATGAGGATGATGCCGATGCCGATGATGATGATGATGATGATGATGATGATGTTCGTGAGCGTGTGAGAGAGTGCGAGTGATGATGATGATGAGTATGTGAGTGATCAAGCATGTGAGAGAGCATCATCGATGATGCTGATGAGGTTGATGATGAGAGAGTGCGAGTGAGTGTGAGTGGGTGTGTGTGTGTGTGTTCCTGTTCCTGCGCGGGGTGTCCAGAGAAAACAAGAACCCCACTTTGGATGTGGGGAAAAATAGTCAAAACATGTTTTACAGTGTTTCACCCTCTGGGCTTAAAGGGCCGGGCAGTGGAAATCGCCCCGGGCGGTTCCCCCAGCATCCGCCCCGCGGTTCCCCCAGTTACGTCCCCTTAGCTTAGCGTTGCTTATCTCATCTTAGTTTAGCTTATTTCATCTCAGCTTAGCTTAGTTTCATCTTAGCTCAGGTTTATCTTAGCTTAGTTGACCTTCATGTTAGCTTCGTTGAGCTTTAGCATAGCAGAGCACAGCAGAGCACAGCATAGCGTAGCATAGCATAGCGCAGCACAGCATAGCATAGCGCAGCACAGCACAGCACAGCATAGCGCAGCATAGCGTAGCATCGCACAGCATAGCAGAGCATAGCATAGCATAGCAGCAAAGCAAAGGCACAGCAACAGCAGCGACAGCAAAGGTAAAAGCAAACGCGTGGTTCCCCCAGTTGCGCTCCCTGGGTGCCAAGCAAAAGCAAAGGCACAAGTGAAGGCAACAGCGAAGGCAAAGCAACATCATAGCATAGCATAGCATAGCATAGCGCAGCATAGCATAGCGCAGCATAGCCTAGCCTAGCCTAGCCTAGCCCAGCATAGCATTGCGCAGCAAAGCATAGCATAGCATAGCATAGCAGAGCAGAGCATAGCATTGCATAGCGCAGCACAGCGACGATGAGGAGAAGGAAGAGGACGGCGTTTACCGCTCCTACTAATGTTGCTTTCCTAGAGGCTCCAACTCCTAGGTAGGGTCGCACTGGGATAAATTTTAATGTTTCGTCCATAATCTGCCTGTAGGGGGACACGCCCGACCTAAACCTAATGGCTGTCGCCCTCTCCCGCCACCGTGCCTGCGCTGCGGTTCAGAGGTCCTGGATCTAGGCCTCCTGGATGGGGTCGGAGTAGATGGGGTCGGAGGATTGCGCAGCATCGCCGACGCATCGGCGCTGCGGCTCGATGCGGAGCCCGATTTGCTCCGCGTCGACGTCACCGATGCATCGCCGACGTCGACGATGCATCGCCGGTGCATCGCCGGTGCATCGCCGATGCATCGCTGATGCATCGCCGATGTATCGGCGATGCGGCGCGATCCTCCGACCCCATCTACTCCGAACTTATCTAGGAGGCTTCTACTGGATCAGGCGCGAGTTTGACTGGCGGGTTGTGCCCGGGTCTGTCGGCCAGGTTCGTCGCCTTTTTCCCAACCGTCCTGTGAAGTTCTCCTCGGTTCGGTTTCTTTTTCGGTGTCGGTTCTCCTCTGACCAACGCTTGCACGAGGCCGCGCAAGAGCAGATAGAGTGGCGAGAGTTCTGTATTGAGTTCGCTTTACTGGCGAGGACGATTTGCTCTAGTGATTCCGTATTCCTGCCCCCCCTCTCCGCCGTCTCGTCCTCTTCATTGGCATGTGTTATTTTCCCGCCCACGCGCAAAACGGCGTATGGTTTCTCGACTCGATCCTTTTGTATTGGGTCTTCGTTTTGAAGCGACAGCGCCCCGCGATCTCTCGTTCTCCTCCCCCTCCTCCGTCCTTCGATCGTTACTTTTGCCCTGCGTATGCCCTCATCTCATCACCACCATGCGTACCCGCACCCCCTGCGGCGCACCCCTCACGCGTTTCATGGCCCCTGAAGGGAACCCCACTGAATGCCCCAGCGGCAGGGTCCGCATGGCGTGCCCGCACCCGCTTCAGCACCACCCCACGCGTTTCGTGACCTCATGGGGAGTTCCACCGAAGACCAAGGCAACACGGTCCGCATGGCGTACCCTCATCGCTTCGTGGCATCATGAGAGCTCCACCGAAAACACTCGCGGCAAGGTCCGCATGGCGTATTCGCACTCGAGACGGCACGACGTTCACATGTTTCGTGGCTCCGAACGGCGTTCCACCGAAGGCCCTCGCGGCAGGGTCTGCATTGCACACCTTCATCCTATTCGACACACCTTTACACGTCTCGTGGCCCCGTCGGGAGCTCCACCGAAGGC